ACTGTAAGAAGTATGGATCTGTGGTGAGGCAGCTATTCGAGTAAAAGGGCAAGAAGAGAACGGAAAATGACAGCACTGCTGTTCTCGAGAGGTCCTGACAGGTTTACAATGTCGTTAACTGGAATTTGATTGCAGTAAATGAGTGCAAATATTGGGCCAATCACGTCACCAATGGACTGCTGTTCGTGCCTGTGAATAATCAGCTAGAATCAATGCTGACTGGTTCAATTCCAATAATTACTGCGATCCCGAAATAGTTCAAATATGTCATAACAAAACGCACAAGTGCGTCGAATGAGGCTGGTGGGCCCATGTAAAAGGCAGGTGTTAAAATGCAGACACGCTCAAGACAAAATGCAATCATACCGAAAAGTCATTAGAACGTCCTTGAGTCACAAAGGAGCGCATCATTCCACGGAGCACTGTCGATTTCCCGGAGGCGAACGTACATAGACACGAAGATCATGAAGATCATGGCTGGCGTGCTATAAGACTGAACAATTCTTCCCTTTTAGCTGGTGACATACCTGCTTGCAACTACTTTGAACACATCTTGAACAATCTTAGACTAGATAACGGGTGGGTCACGACGATCACGACCAATAACTTTGCCTCCAGTATGTCCACGACAAAGCGCCAATTAGTGTATTCTTGTTCATGAACCGACTAAGTAAAAAAAGGAAAAGGAACAAGAACAACAACAGCCATTTTGTGCTTTGTTGAACTGTGGGTCACAATGTGCAAGATTCACATGTTCCATACATGTTTGCCTCCAGTTAACTCACAAACAATGTACTTTTTTGCAACTGTGGCATAAAATAATAGCTTCTGAGCATGTCAGCTAGCACCTCCTAGAAGGGAGATGCCTCTCCCAAAAAATCCTACTGATTTACTCTTAAAGTAAGCAGTGATCTGCCAGCAGACTGATTGAGCATTGCCTTCAAGTCTATACCCAATAAACCCAAAAATCCACACTTTCACTAAATTGTTAAGGGAACCAGTTGCTATCTCAAGATGGTTAGGCTCAGTAAGGTGAGAGGATAGAGGAGTGAGGGAGAGCATATAACTTCTGTCACATAACTTCTGTGAAACTTCTGTTAGGGGGAAAAGAGGGGTGCTCAATATGACCAACACAAATGACTTGTGTGTACACATTAAAGGTCAGTGTGTGTGGGGGGGGGGGGGGGGGGGTAGAAATGAGCCCTGGAGGACATTGAAACCATATACCCCTAAGGAAGCAAATTCCTCCATCAGCCATCCTTGCTCTCATCAATAGTCAAGTAATGATATAATAATTTAACACATCACTAAATGATGATCTCCCAAATAACAGCTCATTGCAGCTATCAACTATGTAGTTAGTGGACTAAAAGACCAACAAAGTGCAAACAATATTGTTGGCAATCATAAAGGCAAAACTATTTAGATTAAAGACATGAACAACTTTATCTGGGTAAATAATCAACAACTAGGGGCCATCATATAATTCAGGCTTGGTGCCAAACAATCATGTCATTGAAGTCAAATGGAGTCAACCTTTCCATTAGAAATGAAATTATGTAACATGAATTAGAAATATCAATATGGCAGCTTTGGTCAAACAGCTCACTGATCCAGGATCAGGTTCAACAGATGCTTTCACACACCTTTGAGGCAACAAACATGTGCAACACTCCTGATCCAGGACTGGTTTCCATCACCTCACATTCCATCATAATAGCAATGCCAATTTCCATGAATAGGTAAAATTTGGTGTGGTTTCATGGAGTCTACAACCCACTAAAAAAGCAATTATGAAAGTCAAACCTATTCTAACAAACACATTAACTATACAAACTACCCTGCCTATGTGTGCTTCCATTTGACAGCAGCTATGTAATGCCCCAAACATTTCTTCACTTAGCAAGGCTGGCTAGCTACATAAGAAAGAGGCATTCCCATTTTGTCAGGCTGCAACTGTGGGGTTGTATCTGCAGTTTCATCAGTTTGCTAGTAGTATACATATTCAATGTTAATTGAGAAAAAAATACAGTAGGGTGAATTCTCCCCAATCTAAGGAGAGTTGTATGATGCTGGAAATTTTATAAAGTTCCATATAATAAGTCAAGTTACAGTCATAATACATACCATTTGAACATGAGTTATAGAACCTGTTTGCCTTATGAATCAAACCATGCCAAAATATGCAAAAAAGATGTGCCTTGAAAAGTGTGTAAGTGGTTTCAACTGACTTATTTAAATGATTATGGTGAATATAACATCCCCACTTTCATCACTTAACACAACATCACATTAATAACTGAGCACAAATTCATGACAAAAAATTAATATTATTTATGCCAAAAGTAATATCATGGAAAGCAGCTAATGGTTTGGACAGCAGTATATTCTAGACTCATTTCTTTACCACTTCATCCATAATACATCATAGCTAGTGATAACCAAGCCTCATACTTACTTCAGTTTTAATTAAAAATCACTTGGTGTCATGTAATCTTTAAAACATCCTGCTACCCATGCATATTTCCTAATGTTGTCTGCAATACATAAGGGAACAGCATATTCCACACAAAATTAGTGAATCTTAGCAAGAGCAAAATTGACATGGTGATGAAATTTATTGCAGATTTGCATACAGTACCTTTTTTATTTACAGCTGAACTTTTACCAGGCATTTTGTTTGATCACCTTTTTTATTCTTGAAGTGGCAATCAGTGAAACAAACAAGGCTCTATTGAAACAACCATCCAAAAACCTTCCCGAGCTAATTTGTAAGGTTGAGCGGGTGAGCTACTGCCGTAAGATTGCCCATTTTAACGACAAATTCATATACACGTCACCCATGACCCAGACCTCCATTATTAGCAACAGGCAATAATGAGGACATCACAATACCTAGCACCGGTTGCCAGAAAAACTGTAAGGAAAGGTGTTGCTACACAATCAACCGAAAACGATTAACTGATTAGGCACCAAGCGGGTTTAATCGCAATATAAGTCCACCCAACGCAATCTAAGGGAGAATGTTGACAACTCAAATAATGCGAATGAACACGTCGATTTTGTCCACAAACATCGGAACTGGGCTACCAAATAGGGCCATGAGTGCTACTAGATCCCAAATCCTCCATACGCTTTACTTCACCTGGTTGGTGGGGCTCGTGGCGGTGCAAGGGGTTTGGAAGCCGAAGCGAGCCCTTTTTGTAGCACAGGAATGGCCCTATTCGGCACTCCTCATAGCTCTTAGGGCCGTATTATTATAGTAGGAGGCTCAGCAGTCATAAACCCCATGACCAAATGATGATGTGTTGGAGGCCCAACCTGTTATTGAGAAAAGTACATTCACGTTTTGAACGGCTTCGATGCGATACGGACACCTGACATTGCCAAATGATCCTGGAAATTTCGCCCAAAGAGGGCCCCACCTTCTCCAGGAGCGGCCCTGAAAGCCCCACTGGTGCGCCTCGGGGCTTTAATGTATTCATTGGCATTCTTACGCAGTTCAAAGTCGCCGGCCGTTACGATCTGTCTGCTCAACTGTACTGGGTTCCACTGCGGGCCGTCGACGTGACCCCGCCTTCAGTGACGTCACGTCCTGGCCTGCGCAGCAAGTAAACAAATTGTCTGATGGCCATCTTTTGACAAAGGGTCGACCCACCCTCTCTAGAACTGCTGTTTCTAACCATCGATTTGAATGGATCACCAGAAGTGCCCTGCCACCATTTTAGCGACACAGTAAAGTAGCGTTATAAACTGAACTACGCTGTGCGGTCGTAAAGTAGGAAGTTGTGTGCCGATGAATTTACATCCTCCCATAGCAGTTGCAACAACGGACAATACATTGTGGAAAAGATAGAACATGGTCAACAGTTTGGACTGATTTTTTCAGTTGCTCATTAGTGGGTCTTATGGTAAGGTAGGACTCAATGACACAATTTCATGAAGTAGCATGTAGCGCGATTTTTCCTTAATTCGGAGAAGGCCTTGCCCCCAGGCCCCCAGTGCTACGGCTTTAATTATGAGTGGATAAGTATGACAGCACATCAATTGAAATGCTTTGTATAACTGTCAAATGTCGCGATGATGATCAGAAAGACGGCAGCACGTAGAAACGCAACAAAACAAAATGACCAAAATACGACCTGGTGCCTCCTGGTGATGGTAAGAGAAGGGTAGCAAATTTGAACATAACCAGTGATGCACTGTGATGCACGAAGGAGCGCTTACCGCACAAGGTAACGTGAGGCCGGCCCCCCTTCCCCTCAAAAATAAAAAAAAATTATAAGCGCCGCGCAGGTCGTTGCGTGTTTCTTCGCGAACTGTTGGTATTTTCCGTTTTCTGCAGAGGCGCAGGTCCGTGCTCGCCGGCACTCTGGCAGTTGAATGCAGTGCTGGCGAACTCCGCAGGTCAGCTGGAGCGCAAGTCGGCACATGTCTGCTGCACGGACAACGGCATCTCCTGGCTAAAGTGGCTGGAAATGGTGGCATTGCGACCAGGGCCGGCGGCGGCACTGGCAGATCGTTGGAAAGAGATGGAGGCTATTGATCACTCCAATTTGTGTCATGCAGCGTTGTTGGACGTGACGTGAAACGTTAGCGTTGTTGGGGACGTGTTTCCACCAGCGTCCCTCTCTCCCTCCTCTCTGTGGCGTACCGCTGTCTGTGCCTTGCATGCCTGAAATAGGGCTGTCGAAATTAAACCCCCTGCGATGCCGACGCCGTTTAATGGCATCTGAACAAACCAGATGGCGCTGCTGGTATGACCGCTACGTGCACCTGCGCGATGTTTTTTAGCGATGCTCTAGCTGCCAAATGGGCTTTCCTTGTTCAAAGGATTGTTGAAACGCGCATGGTGGTTACTGCGGCAGTGATGGCAGCTGGAGAAAGATCAGCGGGCTAAAGATAGCGTTTTGCGGGGCACTTGCATTCAACGACGGTCTTGCCTCTGCAGAACGGCTCTGAAATCCCCTGCTGATCTCTCACGAGCTGAAACGTAGTCCTGAGCATTGCTTGTTTATTATGCACAACGCACCTGGCATTCGTCACTTTGGCATGGTAAATGTTTTGATGTATGTCTCCGTAGTTGCGCATGCGTTCTTAGACATCAACAGTCATAAAAGTTACTATCACGTTGTTCTTCGCAGCGCATTTGATATGTTGATGCATTCCCCTTTTGTCCATGTGGACATGTTTCCTTTCGTTGCTTAACTGACTTCACATTTGCAGAGTCCACCATTTGGCGCGACCCCCAGCCGCGCCGTTAGTCCGCTATTGACGCATCTCCACCCAACAAACGTCATTTAGAACTCGACCACAGGACCTCGTGCTAATATTTCGCTCTGACGTTCAAATTGTGCTATGCTATGATTGGCGGTGCTGGTCCCTGATGGGAACAGCTATCGTTCATGGCCATGCAGGCAAACTCTGATGACGTCATCGAACCATGCTTTGTCTCGTGCGAGGAGTAGACGCGGCCGGTCGCAGTCCATCCTTATGCATCTTGCATGGACCGGCCACGCTCTTTGGAACACTCCGCGCCGCCTGGCGACATGAGCACACAATACCTCCCAAGAAGCCAGCCGTCTCATTTCACTAGGTACACAGCACCGCCCGCAGCACCGCCCGGACCCGCCACGGGCTTCGACCACGCCCATCCACGTCTGGGTATACTGTCCAAAGAACGCTTCGTGACACGAATCAAGGCAAAGCCTTGGTGGCTTTGACAGCAGCCGCGCTCCAGCGCGCAGCTCGGTGCGTCCGTGAGCCTGCGCGGCGCACACCGCCGGCCACGGGAGCCGGCCCCTGTCGGCTGGCCTGCACGTCCGGGCGCAGCTGCCAGGCCAGTGCGCCGCCTACGTCACAGCCACGACCGTCGGTCCGTCGGTGACGGCGGCGGCGACGGCGGTGGTAGCGGAGTCGGCGTCGGCGTCGGTGTCGGCGTCAACGACTGGCTCGGTGTCGGAGGGGGACCCGGCCGCGTCCCGGTTCGAGCGGTGGTACGGCGTGTCGAACAGAAGCGTGAAGCCGACCGCTGATACCGAGATCAGTGACGTCATCAGGATGTAGTAGTCTGGCGACGGCGCGCACAGTCATCACAGCCCGTAGTGGTTGTCGGCACGAAACTGGCGTGAAAGATAGGCATGAATACAAGCACATACCGTTAAAGAATGCGGCCGCCGCTGATAGTAGCTACCACGGTTGGTCTGCCACACTATGCGGTTGTGAAAACATGAGCTGATTAGAGCGTTTGTGAGAGGGGAGACGGTGCGCCGTCACCGTGACGTACTGGTGTAGTCGAGCGGCTGGACGGCGCCGGCAGCGCCATCTACCGTGCAGACCTCTCTCAGCTGGGCTGCGGGCGAGATGGGCCGGCCCATGGCCGTGCCGAGCACCACCAGCACGGCCCCCACCAGAGAGCCTGCGACAACGCGCCAGCCGGTGACGACGGCGCCGACGCCACGGGCATAGTAGTGCAGCGACAACAGAGAGCGTGAGCAGGTCCGTGATTCCGGAGTCCCGGCCTCGCTGGACGGGGCGTGAGTGTAACGCACTCGTCAAGGCATGGTGCCCCGGGCCTGACGTGGGGGTTCCGGCAAAGGACACGGTGGCCTGTGCCCTAACAGCTAGGTTAATCGATTGCTGACCTGTGTTTGACTGTCAGCGCGTGATTGTACAGGCGTTGAGCCGTAAACTTGTCGCATGCCACGCAACGTTCTTCAAGTTCTACATTCATTGTCATCAAGAGCAGCCTCTGCGTCAAGCAGACAGAGCTCGCCCCGAGGCTCTCAGACGCGCGCTGCTCCCCAGCCCACTGACCCGGTATGAAGATGAGTGAGTTGCTGTAGGTCTGGTCGATGGGATACGTGGCCTCGACGCCGAGCTCGATGGCTAGCGGGTACGTGCCGACGCCGACCAGGCCGACCAGACCGATGGAGAGCGCCAGCAGCCACTGCAGGTCCGGGTACCGCGCCGCCTGCGGCACGCCAGCCTCACTCATCGGTCACCGGTCACTGGTCACCTTCATCGGCCACTGCAGCTGTCGCAGACCCGTGCCCGAGCGGTGCCACTGATAAGCTGCATTACTGACGGCAGAAGGCAGGTGAACAAGGCACCGACTGGAGCAGGGGGCGCCACAGCGTCGGCGAGCTTCGCGCCGAGCACAGGCCTTACAGCGGCCTAGGGTCTTGTGTTTCGAAAAGCAAGGGGGAAAACAGGTTGTGGGGACCACAAATTCTCAGTTCCCCTCAAACGGCTTTGGATAAAACAGAAAGACTAACCTGTGCATTACAACAAAAACTAGGATGCGGCCACCGGAAAACGGAAGCCTATCGCACTCATGACTGACCTGACAAAATATGATAAGGCAGACAGCCGTCATTGAGTAGGAGATCTTGACTGTCTCTACAGCCTTCCCTGTCTTCATGGCGATCAGGCCCAGTAAGATGGCACCGGGAATGCCGCATCCGAACAACAGAGCGCCGCATAGACCGACAAAACCCTGGAGGCGAGAAAAAGATTCAATCAGCAATTGCTTCAGGCACAACATCTGTGTCGTGGAATTGGTATGATTAGATCCTTGATTCAGCGCCGCGCGCTCCGTCGGAGAAAACACTGTTTTGTTCAGCCCAACTGGCATAGATTTCGCGGCCGTTTCTCGGTCGCCGCGTCAAGCTGTCACAAGTCGGCTGTTTTCGTTTCGCGGTGCGACAGGAGAAGTGCAGCTTCGCTCCGCTGTCTGGCTTACTGGCACGGGTATGAATTCGTACACGCTGAAGCACACAGGAGACGGTCCTCACGCGTACATCTCACATCGAGCCCACAGTGATGCTTGGGAACAAATGACGTGAAATTCGATCCGTTCCGCCGTACTCCACCCCGTTTACCTTTCAGCACATTCCTAGACCTCTGAAAATATTATCCCTTGGGCAGATATGGCACCGATTGGGTGGCAAAGTCACAACACACGAAGCAACTCCCAACATGCTTTTTCTCGCTGATCTACAAGCAATCAGAACGAGTAACTTGGCCGAAAATCCCGGCGACAAAAAGTGGCTGGGATCGCAATGATCGTCGCAGTAGCTAGTGATCATGAAAGCCAACATTATGGTGGTGGTGGGCTTAGACTTAGCGCTACTATTTAGGCGTCACGTGACCTTCGTTCGTCACCAGGAGCGATCAGGAACACACGCCCTGCGTGATCATCTGTCACATCTGTCACATCTGTCCCCCCCCCCCCCTTACGCCCCGTGTACTGACGGTCGAGTAGCCAGTGGTGCAGAGCATCTGCCCGAGCAGCGTGGCCACGCCATTCATGGCGCCGATGGCCGGACCGAAGCAGCACGCCAGGATGAGCAGCGGCCGGCTGGTCAGCAGCGTCCGCATCGTTCGCCAGAACGGCTCGGCGCGCCGACAGTGGGCCGCGCTCGGGCTCGGCGGCGTCGGCGGGTGTGACCTGGCGGACACCGGTCACAGGTCGGGGTGAGGTGTGACCTGACAGGTACGGAGCAGATATCAGGGGTAAGGTGCGAACTGACGGGTACGGGTCACAGGTCAGAGGTCAGGTGCGATCTGACGGGTACCGGTCACAAATCAGGGGAAAGTTTGACTTGACGGGTGCGGGTCACCAGTCAGAGGTGAGATGTGATCTGACGGTACAGGTCATAGGTCGGGGGAGAGATCACGACCTGACGGATACGGGTCACAGGTAAAGGAGAGGTTTGACTTGGTGAGCAAATGTCACAGGTCATTAGAGGGGTGTGACCTGACGAACACGGGTCACAGGTAAGGGGAGGGCCATGACCTGCGGGAACGGGTCACAGGTTTCGGGCACCAGCGGGTTATGGGTGAGACTTGCGAGCAAGGGTTACCAGTCACTGGCGGATGCAGAAAATCAAGCGCTCGTCGCAGCCCCTACAATGTTCCGGACCAGATCAGTGGTGCTGAAAAACATGGGTGGACAGACAGACTGCGCACTGGGGCTGCTGCTGATCGGTATCAGTTCACAGGTCGTTAAGGAGCTTGCTTATCCGTATCAAGCGATGCGTCCCCATGGGTGCCGATTGGAGGCCACTTTGAGGTTTTCAGAGTTTCTGTTCACGCACACATAAACACAATAAGCATTCATCAGCAAAATGTCAAGTCGGCAAAGTTCGGGAGCCTGTCCTCTGCCAACCATCAGCGGCGAAGCAGAATTCATGCCCGCGATGCCAGCTGAGTGCTGCACGCCGCGCACATCGCTCACATGGTGACGCCGAAGATGGCCGCCAGCGCAGCGATGATGGCCGGGAAGGCCCAGATGGTGTTGATGAGTGGCACGTCAGCCGGCTTCGTCACGTAGAGCGGCGTGACGGAGATGCCGAGCATGCAGCCGATCGGGTTGGCTGGAGACGGGAGGACATGACGCTGGCCGCCGCTACTGCTGCCTAACACGCTACACACGAAACTGCGCACGGAGTGCCGACCGCAGAGGCGCGCGCAGACTAGAGTATACACAGTCCGAACGCAAGGCTGTCCCGTGCATGAGGTGGAGACGGATTGGTGTCCGTAGGACGGCATTCACAGATGTATTGGCGCACAAGGCTGATGTTCGGTGACGGCGTGTCTGTGCACCGCTGATCCAATGATGGTCGCATGCAATGACGGTCGATTAATGATAAAGGCAATGTGTGCCGGTGTTCTTACGATTCTTCGACGTAGTGGGAAGTGCAGTGCCCATATTTACCACTGAGTTTTGTGTGCCCACACAGTGCCCCTATTAAGTTTCGTCGGTTTATCACGATGGACACCCCCGTTATGTCTGCGCGGCAAAATGCGCTTCAGGACCCAATTGGCAGCCATTTAGGAAAGAGCGGGTGAGCGGAGGGGAGAAGTCTGAAGCGAGTAGAGCACTTGGCAATGGTGGAATCAATTTTGGGGATTGGAGTGACTTTATGCAACTCGCTGAGGCAAGCAACATGAGTTTAGACGCCGTCGGTTGGTGTTCGTAAGAAAACGCCTAATCCGTGGCCACACGGCCCCAGCGCGCCGCCGCCATCCCAAACGGTGTGTGATTGGCCTCCAGACATGCCTGACGGCCGACCACGTCGGGATCAGCGCCAGCGTGTCTCTTCCACCCGCACATGTCGCACATGTCGACCCCGCTACACACGTGCGAGGGTGGACACGCACGGCGCCGGGCGGCGCCGGCGGCCGCTCACCCAGCGACGAGAGTGTAGTGCTCAGGGTCCGCTCGCCCTGCGGATGCCACGCCTGCGAGTACCGCGTCGGGATGACCAGCGTGAAGGGCTGGGCCACGGCCGCCGCCACCTGTCACGGCGCGTCACGGCGCGTCACGGCGTGTCAAGACGCATCACGACGCGTCAGCGGCTGACGGCCACACGCCACACGTACACGTAACTGCCACACGCCACCAGCACACGTCAATCACGTGCGTCAGCACCTGCCTCAAATGACGTCACAGCTTACGTCACGAGCTCAGTCACGGTTGGTTAGATGGCATGGAGCATGACAAAGCACGGGGGGATGTCTTCCCTTCTATGTCACAAGGCTCGCTGTCCTCCGTCTTACTTTACCAACCAGCAGGCGCAGGCTGGCATAACATGCGACCGGGACGATCACGCAAGGTGCAATGTACATCGAAAGTGCATTGCACAAGGCGCATTATACATTGCACATTTCGGGTACATTGAGACACCACGTGCTAATCGAGGTTATGTTACCCAGCGATTTCGCACCTTGACGCTGTGACTCTGGTGGGAATATCCAGTCATGCTTCATCGACAACCGACCGCGCAGGAATCTCATCCGTTTGAACAAGACAGCGTTGTCACCCGATAGCGTTGAGTGCGTACCGATCCGACCATGGTGAGGGCGTATCTGAGGTGGGTCGGGGTCACCAGGTCCCAGGTGCTGATGCCCTTGACGGCCATGCCGAGCCCGTTCAGCACCGCTCCGATCACCACCTGGGGGCACGAGATGCTCGATACAAAACGTCGCCATGCTCTCCGCGCAGGGCGGATGCGTTGCTCATGGCGCATCGCGCTGCCAATAAACGCACTCTATTTACTCGCCGGTACGGGTGTTCCGCCGCACAAGCTCATTTAAACACCATTATTGCGTCCACATCAGCGATAGGTTTAGGAGTGGCAAAAAGCGCAGGATGCCATTACCATTCGCGGCAAGCCATTACTAACTAGTGACGTGCCATTTTAAGATGACATCTTTTTACGCGGAAATCCGCGTGTTGCCGACTGCTTTTTCAAAGCACTAAATGGAAGCCCAGTCAACGGCAAGACACGGCGAGGTCACTGAGACCAGAAACAGCAACGCACATCCCTTTGTTGAGGCAGTTTATTCGCTGGCCATTACAGTTCGAGGGTTATTACTCGGTGAACCAAGGAGACGTTATCAGTCCCCTCGGCTCTCCTGTCGCTGACCGTGATCTATATTGCCCTTATCGAGGCGCTATCGAACACGAGCGGCGCTAGGATTTACGTCGCGCTTATCGCCCAGGTCCAGTCACCCGCCTACTATGGTCAGCATGCGATGACACAAACGCGGTTGTCGTGCGTGAGCTGATGTAATTCGTGTCTGGAGATTGATTGATAGTGTAGGTTACGACAGGCTGGGTAGGTGGACTTAATCTTGAGCAAGAAAGGGTAGCCACAATTCTGCAACTGATGCGTAGATTTGCATACGCTGGGCAGAGGAGGTATAAATAGGGAAAGAGTTAGGTTAATTAGCTTGCAATGTCATTTTCATTTTTTCCGCTAACAGCCTTCGTGTAAGACGCATTGCCTTCTGAGCAAGGGGGAGGGGGCAATTTTTGTAAGTGGTTCGGCCGTACCAAAGGCCTGACGACCTGCCCTAAAGTTGTTTCTCCATAAATTTGGCCCATTTGTTTTGACAAAAGGTAATCTTCATTGTCAACATTGGACCACTTAACAAAATGCTCATACTTGAGCAGCGTGGTAGTCATGGTTACAGGACCAAAAGTCAAAAGATAAGAAATGAAAGGAAAAAAAGTAAAATGGCAAAACGTCAAACAAGGTAAAAGTCAAATCCAACAAGGCAAAAAACAATAAAGTCAGGAGGACGAAAAGTCAAAAGGACAAAAACTCAAACTAATCAAAGTCAGCCGCAAAAAGCAAAACCCAATAAAAGTAAAAACGATAAAACTTTAAGGTTGAAAAGTCGAACGGGAAAAGTTAAATGGATCGAACTTAAAAGGGATAAAATGAAAAGGCGAAAGCTCAAAAAAGAAAGAGTCAAAAGTGATAAACGTAGTTTGAGGAGGGCTGAGGACGGGGCAGCGAATGAAGTCCGCCCCGCTCAGCCAGGCGGGATAGCCACTTATCGGCTCTGTAAGAGTATGAAAGGAGTAAAAGGCCGGGTCTTAGCTTTGAATCGAAAATTGGCTTTTTTAAACGCTCGGCTGGTAACTAGTTACTTTGCGGCCAAATTTTTGATCCAGTTGTCCGTTAAACTTATCAAGTTTTCGCAGTTGTATGGGCAGATGTTAAGATGGATTTAGCTAGGTGATTTTTCCACGGACTCCGTAATTCGACACATTTAGTGTTGAAGCCCCAGCCCAATTCACGACTTGATGCAAAAAGGTCTTTTTAACACGAATTGGGATCTCCTCGCCCAACTATGAGGCTGGGTACCTGCCCTTTTGCTCCCTCCCTGCTACGCCGTCTCTGACAACACCTACAAGAAGAGGGCCCTTGCGGTTGACACGTGAACGAGGCCCAGCAGCCTCCTAATGTAAGTGAATGAGACGCACAGGCCTCATGGCTGCGCAGAAGTCGCGGGATGCCGAGATTTGACCTGTAAGCTCCCCGCGCAATGGACGAGTTTTTTTATTAGTTGTTTCAGGGTTCTCAGGCACCTCTTTTATTTTGACTTGGATTTTTTCGACTCGTCTTGTTCCCTGTTAGCATACAAGTGGAGGACGTTACAAAGGAAGGGGGAAGATGGGTAGACGGTTATCCATGCGGTCTTGATCCCTTTTGACTTTCATCCCTGTGCTATTTGAAATCTGACCGTCATCTTGTGATTTTTACATCTGAATTTAGTTGTTTTAGTTTTTAGTATTTCACTTTTTGGCACTTGACCTTTTGTTCTTTCGACATCTTCCCGTTTGATGTTTATCCATTTAACTTTTATCCCATTTGACCTTTCGTCTATTTCGCCGTTTGCGTTTGACTTTTATCGTTTTGACTTTTTGCGATTTCACCTTTCGTTCCTATGACTTTTTGGCTTTTTGACTTTTTGCAGTTGACTTTAATGCTGTTGGACTTTTTGGCATCTGACTTAATCTCATTCTATTTTTGGTCATTTGACTTCTTGGCTGCTGATTTTTTTCCCGGCTACCGGTAGTCAGGGCTAGCAAATAATGCTTACCCAAAGAAGGTAGGCTTCCTGTGATGAAAAACTTTGTCTTATGTTTTTGTGATATCCCAGCCAAAAATATTGGGGGGGGGGAGGGAGCTCAAGCCAGCATTGGGGGCAACTCAACATGGGGGCAAGGGCCCTCATGCAATAATGCAAAGCGACAACCCTAGTCACGAGGTTGCACACATACTGAGATGCAAAATTGTCCCTGATTAAGCAGATGTTCGTTCTCCGGAAGCAGGCATTTAGGTCGGCCTGCGTGGTGTTGCAATGTCGACCTTCTCTGGTAAACAGACGGCAGGGCAGAGCAGACAGCTCACACGCTGGGCAGGCGACAAGCGCTCACTGCTTCTCTAATGCGCGCTGTGCTGCGTAGCATTGCGAAAGCCACGACGCATCAAAATTAAAGATATGTGAACACCCTTCATCGCACAGACAATAGCAGCGTAAAATGCGCATAAATAATGACGTCCGACTCAGTGTTACGCGTAAATAATGACGTCCGACTCAGTGTTACGCGTAAATAATGACGTCCGACTCGGTGTTACGCATAAATAATGACGTCCGACTCAGTGTTACGCTTAGCGGGCAAGACTAATGCAAAATTAAAATGAAAGAAAATAGTAATTTTGTTGGCCCCAGTCGCCGAACACGATGTTGCTCCACACAATGACAAAAATTGCAGGAGAGCAAGCAAATGATACCCGACAAAAAGACGCTATCTAGTATCTGACACTGCAGCTTTACTCGGTACTGACCGGGCTAATCATTGGCACACCATTGACCGAATGGGGCAGATCTGACCCCTTTGCTCATCTCAAGGAAGGCCGGGCCGAGTTCAAGAAATGAAATCGCAGCCGACAGCACCGTGGCGTGCAGTCTCAGACCACACGGTAAACTTAAGTTTAAGTGTGCTTCAAGATCACAGGTCTAGGTCAAAAATTTTGAAATGCTATTTCGGGATATCTGATCGCTCTCACCGCGCATTTAATTTAGAAGTGTATCTCATGGTGTGAAGTCATTTTGCCTTGATCAAAGATGACCGGTAGGAAGGTATCCAATGTTATGTCCGCCGTACTAGACCTGGAACCAAGGGCACGTGTCGTGCAAATGAGAGCTGAAACCTTGGTCTCTAGGTCTATTTTGGTTTATTTATTTCCGTCATATTTGAACCATCTAAACGCAAAGCGGTAGACCTTAGCCGCAATTATGGGGGTCAGATACGTGATCAAGAGCGGTTACTTGTTTATAAACCGTCTGAGGCCAGGGTCAAATGGATGACCTTAGTGATGAATAAGCGATTGAATCGATTCTTGCGTTGTTTTTGACAGCTCAGTCCCGCCGGCAGCGCAGCCTGAAACCCTTGAAGCTCGCCGCCAGTCACGTGGTCGTCGGTTCGCGTGCCAAACCGATCAACGGCTTCCGCCGCCCCGTCACCGTGCCGCCGCGACAGATCTGGTCCCCACCACCCGCCGTCGCGGACCTGGGCCACCTGAGCACGGGCAGCAGGCGTGCGATAGATTTCAAGCCATAACTCAGTCGTTGTTGCGGATAATCGCTTAAAATCTGATGAAGGCATCTTTCATAGTCAAATCTAGGACACCTTCTTTCACGTTTCCATCATTTTGAGTCTGAGGCCAAAACGTGTCGAGTGAACGTTTAATCAGTATTTTGTTCTTCGACATGCCAATATTTCAATCTGTAAAATTGAAACAGCACAACAGCAGGCATACAAAGGATGGACTAACTAGCTTACAATTTCCGTTTACAGGAATAGAATGTGTTCTTTCGTCCGGCTTCTGTGACAGCTTATCTGCGGCTTTGCGCTTTTGTAAAGAAAAATCGGCAGACATGACGGTCATTGTGACGTCACACTCACGCTTGATCGTTTATGATCTCATTGTTCTTACTTTGACAAAAGGCGTAGAACTCATCAATGTTTTTGAATCATCGCGGATATTGGGTAGGTGGTGCAGATTTGACCCTTGCCCCCGGTCAATGCCGGGTTAATGCACGACGCGTTTTGTTTGGAAGCCAAGCTGAAGTGTGGCCCGCATTTGCTTTCTGCCACTTCTACCGTCTTTCGTCACTAGACACTCAATAGTGCTCAGCACAGAACCATTGCACGCTATTGTTTTGCTGATGTAATTTTACATTACGCGTGCACAAAATCTCAGCGCAACAAGCGACAGACACGGCCGCCACGGGCGCTCACCACCCAGCGGAAGCTCCAGTGGTCGACGGCCCACATGATGAACGGCGTGACGATCAGCTGCACGATCATGAACTGCGTCATCTGCCAGTTGATGTTGTCCAGCGTCGTGTCGTAGTAGTGGGCCGCGTAGCTGGCCACGGGCGAGAATGAGAGCCATGCCTGCCGGCGGGCCATGATCCATGATCCATGATCCATGAAGCCATGATCACCTACGGCGGGTCAGGTCAGGGAGCCATATTCATCTGCGGCCGAATTAGGTCAGGTCGCGAGGAGAGTGATGTTTACCTACGGCCTGGTCAGGTCAGGTCACAAGGAGAGCAATACTCACCCACAGCCGAATCAGGTCAGGTCATGAGGAGAGCTATGTTCACTTACTTTCGGATCAGGTCATGTCATGAGGGTAGCCATGCTCGCTTATAACCGGGTCAGATCAGATCATAAGGGAGCCATGTCCATCTGCAGCCGGTCAGGTCAGGTCACAAAGGGGGCCATGCTTAACGTTTCAACGTGACCTGACCGTGCCAGGTCAGATCACGTGAGAGAGCGAGAGAGAGGGTTGACAGCCGCCGGCGGTCGGGTCATGTTTCGCCATAGTGTCGGAGAGGCGCGGGCTATGGCAGCGGGACATCGGTCACCGCTCATGGGCCGGTGCCGAGCCTACAGTCTGACCGATCGGTTTAGCTCGACGTTAGCACAGTGACATCGCAAAGACGAAATATATGGGTCGCTCGCTACAGAAAGCTGCATCATTTAACACGGTTGCCTGGTGAACAGCCATGGACGCACCAGCACTGGGGCCGGCGGGGCCGGGACCAGAGAAACTTGCCGGCGGGTTAGACTAATTTTTGTATTTTGAATACATAAGATGGCACCAAGACGGCAGTGCATCCCATTAACGTATAAGGCGTGGTTACGTCCATGACATCAGCGAAGAGTGCTCAGCTGCCAGCGCTCCGGGACATACTCTGTACGAGGATGGGCCGGTCAGGTGGCTGCTCAAGGATTGTGGGACACAAAATGCCAAGTTTTGTGGGACGTCGAATGCCATGGTTTGTAGAGCCTCGTAAATCTCCACTTTTTATATTCAGCTTCTGTTTTGCACTCATGTAATATTTGTATACTTATACTCAAGGCGTCACACATAGAGGGGAGGATCCAGCACACAGTCATCTTAATCGGAACTCGCAGTTCCGACGGCGAGCCGTGACATTGTGTCCAGAGCAGCAGCACCACAGTGCGAGGTCAACCTTTCGACGACCTGGTCAGCTAGGACATGTTAACTGTTAAACAACGACAGCACGGAGGCATCAACGGCAACAGGTGGGATCCCCATCATAGATAGACGACCACATTCTCTCCCTCACGCACCGTACACTCACATTTACGAGCATAAATGTACATTACATGGGCATTTTAAAGGCAAAACCTGTAGCATTGGGTAATTCGCAGGCCCGCCCAGTCAGCTGGCCCCGCAGCTCCAGCCTGAAGGCATACCCACCGCTCCGTTGGACACCTGGGTGACGACAATCACGAACAGCACGAGCCAGCGTCGCCGGTACACTCTGTACGGCTGCACGGGTACCGGGGCGGCGCCCTCCCCCACGGGCATGACGCTACCGACCAGCCGCGCGCGCCCCGCACACTGGGGAGACGGTATCCGCTGCCACGCGCATGCGCACGGGCCGCCCGGCCGACCGGCGTGCCAGGGGCGCACTCAGGCGCGGCCACATCGAAGTCCGATTGAGATTTATTGGCGTGCTGAACAAAGTTGTCTGTCATTGCTCGTATTAGAGCGATTCGGTAATGCAATAAGTCAAGACGGTGATGAGTGTTCGCGGCCATGATATATGACCGGAAATTTCACTCACTGTCCAGTACCAGACCTCGTTGATATCGCGATCTGGTGTTCATGGTCATGCACAGCGCGCATGGAACGTCGGCTGCGACCGGTCGGGGTCTGGCCTGGAAAGAAGAGCACGAGTGTCGGTCTGCAGTTTGACTTTTGGAACAGTCACGCTGCATTGCTGTACGCACTGTCGTTAGTGTTGTAAGATATCACCACGGCTCTTCAAGCAGTCAGCGACAGGGGGAGGGAGAGGTCTCTCACGCGTTCGACGCCGACGTGCCCTTAAACCTTAAACCACCCCCACCATCTCAAGTTGGGAAGGGAGATATCTATTTCTGATTCTTTCTCTCCTGTCAACACCCGTGGCGCCAATGTTAAATTTTTAGAAAAGTGAGGGAGGCTCAGTCCCGGTTTCAAGACACCTGGCTCAATGGTTTTTAGCTGTTAATTTAGCGAACGTGAAAACTCGAAGGCCTTTTATCGCCGTGTGACGGTGGCGAGCGGCTCAGAGGCGAAGAGGCGAAGAGGCGAATGGCATGTTGACGACACGTCTTTTTGAAGGTGTGGAAATCGATGAAACGAAAATCAGAACTATGTCAAAGTGTTAATTAGCCGAAAATAAATCGTCCGAAAGTCAACTAGCCAAATGGCAGTATACTAAAACGAGATAAAGGCGGATGCAGTTAGAGGAATGGAAAATCACGGAATGGTCAATACGCTGGCTTTTTGTTGGGAGCTGAGTTTGAAGAATGGTCATTCAGGAAATGGAAAATCACAGAACACCTCATTGACGAAACGCCTTTTTGTCGAAATCAGAATATGACGGGCTGGGATCAGACCAACGTAAGTTTGTCGAGTGCTAAGTTAGCCGACTATATTTTGTAGAAATGTGAACATAAGGAATAGTTTTTTTGTTTGTAAATGATAACGCCTGCGGACCGTAAGAGGCGGTCCATGGATTAAGTCGCGTATTGGTAGCAGCTTGCTGGAGTGTAACCAATACGGCTAAGAGCATGGAGCAATTGGACTTGGTTGTGTTTGCCTAGTTCTTGATAAAACTGGACGGAGCAATGGCAAAATAGCCTACATCCCTTTGGCTTGGCATGACACATTATGCGTCGCATATGTCAATGTCCACTAGACCGCATCCGATAGAGGTGTTAAAAAGCTGATGAAAGCCGCTCTACGCATTGCCAAAGCTTGCTTAGTTCTTGCAGTAACAGGAGAATAGACATAATCTTACCCGTCAAAAGTCACGTTCACTATCCTTCGGTCATGCTTATCTGGCGCAGCTTGACGAGGGCTTTCCAATGCTATCGTTCTCGTGGTTCGAGCTCGCTTGGTTTTCGAGATCTGAAAGGCAGCTGCCAGGGGCGTAGTTTCGCAAAATGAGTTGGGGGGAGGGGTGAAGAGGGAGGCATGACCTAACCTACTCCCAAAATATGCCAACAAACAATTTTCCTTCCGGATTTTATCCACTTCCTTTTCAAAGTTGGGGTCTGAGACCCAAGGTTGGGGCGCCAAACTCCCCCCCCCCCCTCCCCCACCCGACTGAATAGCAAACTGCAACCCTGGTGGCTACTCAGGGTGGCCTGAGCAGCTACCAGTCGACCAAAAAGCGCCCACAGAGCGAGGGTCAAGGGTCGCCTATCTACAACCCACAAACAAAATTTTGACGCACAAGTACTCGACTCAGCAGCATTTAACTGACTAGCATTTGGCTAGACATTTTGGCAAATCACCTTCCGACCAAAATGCCTTTCAGTAGTTCATACTTAACTAGAGAGCATTTCGACCATTTAGAATTCCATTAATACCGTTTCGGCTAATTAAATTTCGACAAAAGGTACTTCGGCAACTCAAATTTGGCTTACCAACACATAAGCAATTAACATTTGACTATAGGCCATTTTGGCAAATTGGCATTCGACCTAAGAATATTTCACCAAATCTGCATTCGATACATGTGCATCTCCACGTATTGAAGGAAGTGTTCCACATTTGTATGGAGTTTGGACTGAAATAGCCGTATCCAAGACCTTTCGGTGCCTTTCATAGCCCTGTCCTTCTTAAAACCCAAACCTGCCTAGTTTTAATGAGCTGTACGCCCGTCAAAATGGAAGAGTATTTTGTGAGAGCATTTCAAAGTCACCTTGGCATTCATGACGCCATAATAAAGTCATCCAAGTTCTGCCAGTTCACAAGCCGTGTGGCGATCAAGGCCGAGAAAATTATAATGGGGGAATAGTTTATATCTTGCGTTTGTAAGCACGATTTCCAGATATAACGGCTGCCAAGAGGCTCACAAGCAACGTTGGGCAGGGTGCGATGACGTAATCAAACAATGACGTATGAAGGAGCATATTTACTTAACAGAGAAATTGTGCAGTCTGGAACATTTTGTTCTACTTGAAGAGAGAGAGAGAGAGAGAGAGAGAGAGAGAGAGAGAGAGAGAGAGAGAGAGAGAGAGAGAGAGAGAGAGAGAGAGAGAGAGAGAGAGAGAGAGATATATATATATATATATATATATATATATATATATATATATATATATACAGCTTGTTTTATTATATCTGATGCTTGCCGCAATATCTTCAACTGCGAAACATTCCCTTTAACATTAAGTAAATCTGGTGCGTCGGCAAAAGGGCATATCAGCAATTTGCCGTTCAACTTTCAGTACTTCGCCTTGTTGACACGGCGACAAAAAACTTAGGCAAAGTACCACCTGATTACAGGTATTCGGTAGAAAGGCATTCAGCTCGATGCATTTCAGTTATTTGTCCGAATACCTCAGCCCCCTAAATCATCACCGCTTCCCGTTTCCCTGAGTACAGTAGTCCACTCTCTGGGCGGCAGCGGCCCGACTTAGCGATAGCGCTGGCAGATTCTAAGGGACGGGAGTTCAAGGCGCTGAGCATTCTGAAGTGTGCGGCTCGTACCGCACGTGGGCGGACGTCAGACCATTTTTACTGCTTAATTGCTCTCTGATATGGTCCCGGCAAGGTGCGGATGCTTCACCGACCACTGAGTGCTCGGTTCTTGCAAGCGCCGGCTGCATACCGCGGATTACAATGTACGCGGCTCGCCACCGGGGGGTTTACGACATCTCCAGCCGCCAGTTTTCGGTGGAGACGGGCGCGCCACCGCTTGCGCTCAGGGGGAGGTGCTCCGGATGCGCCCCGCACGTCAGCTGGCTCCTTTATCAGGTCACCCGACACAGCGGCGGCAGTGTCACGCCGCACAACGGTCTTCTTTCGGAGCGGCCCACAGCAGCACGCCGTCCCTCCCTTAGTGCGAAGACATGAGATGGTTCAGGACGTGCCGTGCGTCGGCGTGGCGTGTTTGGGCAGCGTCATCCACCCTGGGATCAGTGGGCTTACACGGGGCCCAGGGTGGTGGTCGGCCGTGAGGCTTTACACAGCCAGGTGCGATGAATGGCATCGGAAGTTCGATGGACTCTGAGATGGACAGAGGGCCAGAGGCCGAGCCAAGGAGTCGCGTTGCAACACTCGGAGAATGTGAGGACCAGAAGTAGCCTAGGCGAAAGACAGCAGAGGGTCCAGAATGTATTTTGTAAAGGTAGCTTAGATACTGCCACCCAGATTGTGAAGGAGACCAGCAGCTTATTAGTTTTAGGTGGTAAAACGACGTCCCGACTATTTTGTCTAATTGCTCTCGCTGCATTCAGCAACCGTTTCTAGAACCCTTACAGTGGATCCAACAACTAAGGCTGCCAGAGCGTTCGTGGTTCCAGCTGCCATGCCGGCTGCTCCATCCCTGCGCAAGGACTCTCATGATTGCTGACATGATTTTGCGTGCGCCGTCAGCTTTGGTCATTTTCCGTCCAAAACTGGTGTGGTCATTTGGCGTGGCAAAAACCACTGTTCGATTGTGCTGGCCAAAGCTTCGGCCGCACGCCCACGGCGGCCATTCGAGCTCACTGCCTTCTGCCACGAGGCGAACGTCTCGGATCTCAAACAAACTGAGCCGTATATACGCTTTACCGTCCGCCGATGGGTGAATGCTGACTATATTTACTATATTTACTACTGTAAACTATATTTTATATTTATTCAGATGTAGATATATATATATATATATATATATATATATATATATATATTAGATATATATAGAAAACTATATTTAACAGCCGTCTTGAAGAGGACTTCCTCAGTGTCATTAACCTCTTAGTCAATATACGCTTTAAAAACAAGCAAGTTAAGGTGCCTGTTTTGGGAGCCCGGGCTGCCTCTGGGGAGCCCGCCTCTGAAAAATAGGGCGCCCTCCGCCATCAGATAATGTGGTTTATGTTTCCGATTTGCCTCAGATTTCTGGTGACCATCATTTACCTCTTACTCCCAATAGAAATAAGTTTATTTCGCTTTTCCATCTTGCAAACCAGTGGATACATTTCTGTATAAGCTGGAAAGGTCTTCCGGTTCTGGTTTTGAGAAATACAAATTCAGAGCTCTCATGCTGACAATGAAATGGGTTTGAGCAATCGTGAATGCTAGGAGACGCGATAGGTGCGAAGAAACGCAACACCAGCTGTCTCCTCGAAGAAACGTCACTAGGTTCCTGTTTAGATACTTCCAAGCTATGTGCTCTTAGAAGGCAAGCCATGCTCATCGCAGAATAGATTGCAATATTTTCCCCGTTAAATATTATCGCATTTTTCACCAGTCACAAAGCCGTGTGCATCACGAGTCTGTATGCGACCAAGGCAGTTGCCTACTGCCGGGTATTTCCCGCCCCCGCTATCAGCTGAACACAGTGA